TCCATAATGTAATCTGATGTGCGAAAAACTACCAAAAACTCCGTATATCGTCTAAGCCTTTGAGTGCCAATAGAAAACTGTTTTCAATGACTAAGTAGTATTTAGATGCATCAGGATCAGGGATTCGAAAAAAAATATGAATCAAATAAACTGAATACATTTTGTTCATGGACTAGCTTCTGCCCACGACTTCGCTCGCAATCTTTTAAAGTATTGGGGGCAGGTTTACAAAAGATAAAAAAGAAATGGTGCAGGAGTTTTTGCTTTTCACAAATATACCACAAACTTTTAACGCTACATACCTTGAAAATTATGAAATGCTTCATACCAACTCCACCCCCTGTATTAGGGAAGTAGTGGGTTAGAAAGAGACAAAAAGTAGCCTATGTTACTCTACATCCTTTCAATTATCTAACACTAAAAAATCGCGTCAATTTCTAGCTCTGTTCTGTCGTGAAAGACGGACAAACAAACAAACACATTAAAATGTTTAATATTAAGTATAGATTTCTATGTTCTCCGAAATTTTTTTGACACTTGGGTATCATGCCAATGGAATATTGTCATATTTTTTTGTTATCGTGATATAACATTAAGGTATGCAAAGAGGTTGACTGCAGTTAACAGCACCAAAGAGAGAAATCCATAAATAAAATATTTTCAGTTTACATAAAACGGTATTTTTCCCTATTTAAAAAACTAATTACACATAGCTGAATATTTATATTAGTCCCTGAAAAGCCATAGTATTTAATTTTTATCGTCATTTCATTGTGATGAGATTTGTTAAACAGCATTATAATTTACCTTGAAAAATACTAATTAAAAATACCAATTAAAAATACTCTCGCCATCAAACGTTAAAGTTTGGCGAGTTTAGATTTAAGGCAATACCTATGTAAAATTTCAATGAATAAATTTGTTTAAAAAAAAAAAAATATTCTGCCTGAAGTTCTAATTATACGCGGACAAAGTCGCGGGTAACAGGTAGTTAGTACAGTAGTAGTAGGGTATGTAACAATTTATTCTAGGAATTGAATCAACGACACGACACCCAGTTGCCAGCCGTTGGTCGGTCGTCTAGCTATGGAGCGAATATTTTAATTCTACATCATGCATCGCGTTAGAGAGCAAAATTTACGACCAAAACCTAAACAATTTGATTTACAATAAACACTTGGCATCTTACACATATTAAGTGCAGTGAAATAAGGTACGTATTTTTTTATCATACGGAATGATCTATGTTTCACAGTCGTAGTGGAACTTGTTATAAAATAAATACAGCTTAATTAAACTTCAATATTTATAACTAATGTGCACAGAAAAATCCCGTTGTAAACCCTCAAAAGAAACTGTAAATAATTAAATAAACAAATTAAGAAAGATAGCATAAGAACGGCAGCTTTAAAGGAATATTTTCATTGGCGGCAGTCGTGCAACAGTTTTATACAAACCTACTTTAAAGGAATATCTACAATTAATAACAAAATTTAATGTTTACATTATTTTCATCTTCCGTTTACTTTCTTTAAACAGATGTTATCGTAATAACTTTTCGAACTGTTTTGAGAGCAGTCGACTGTTGAATGTTGAATTATTGTTTCAACTGTGCTACTGTTTCTTCAATGAAAACGGTTTTGAAGGAACAAGCTAAATACAGCTGCAGTTTTCAGGAAGAATATTGATTATAACAATAATTCAGTTCGTGATCAATGAACATTAAATATTTTTTGTTTATGTGTTAGCGTTAGCGGAACCTTTATTATGATTTCTCAATTCATTCTTCAGTTGAGATTGTTTGACATGTTTCGGATAATGTTTATACCACAGTGGCAGATGAATGGCGACATGTTATCTTTAACAGGTCGTAGGAGCATTGTTAGCGATTCATTTTAAATAAATATAGGAACTAGACTTCGTATCATATTATGAACGAATCCTTTAGCGTTACTCGATTTAGTTTCCCTCCTTACGTGAGTATCAAGTTTATTATTATTTTACTTGAGCGTGGGTTGAGGCGAGTGAACCTATTTGTGTGAAATAAAAGGATCTTTTATAAAAACAGATCACACAATGTGTTCCATTGTTATTCCGCACTTACGTCATGCAAGGCCAGTGAATGTAAGTGGATGAAAAGGATATCCATTATAATGTATGACTCAAAACCAAGTGTTGTCCAAGTAACTGCACGGAGAGCGATAAGCATTACTTTATATGGAGCGTACTTCAACAAACAAACATTATCTTAGTTTTTTGCCAAGTTAGAATGTAGTATTTTATAGACATTAGTTTTTATGGGCGATATAAGATTTAAAAAATAGTTGTTTACATTGAACTTAACTTTATTTATGGCAATAAAGTTTCAACTAAGCTTTAGTTCTAAAATGTAGTTAGATTGTAAACTGAGTGAGTAGGTAACTTTGTAATTTATGGAATGAAAAAATAATATTTACGAAACTGTATAGAGGTATTTAAGTGTAGAGTAATAGCAGTAGGTACGTCTATGCTCAATTTTAATTTTATTTAATTACGGTGTTTTCCCACGTAATTTATTGATTTGCATATGTTTTATGGGATAACCCGGTAAGCGATCGGCGCCGTCCATGAACACTCGAAACACTAGAGGCGTTACCGGCCTTTTGGTCTTTAGGAATTTGAGTATTGTTGGGGATTCAGGGGAGGGTGGTAATCTCATTCATACGGCGGAACACAGCGCAAGCGTTGGTTCACGCCAATTTTCTGTGAGGTTGTGGTATCAATCCGGTCAAGCCGGCCCTTTCGTGCAGAAACATGGCTTTCCCACACTTTATTATTTAATATTCTACTTATTTTAATATGAACTTGTAACGGTACAGATCGAACTATCTAGTACTTAATACCGTAGTCATGATTGCGATTACACAATTGACAGGTAACTTTAAAATGGAAGTTTTAAAAATAAGTAAATATATCCAACTTCAGATCTACACTGTAGGCAAGAACATAAAATAAAGTTGTCTACTTGTTCTTACATCAGTGAATTTGATTCGTATGTTAATAAAATTAAGGTTTACGTATATTACATTCTGTTAATAGATATTCTAGGGTCCTTGCTTGTTGAGTGGCACTGTTAATTTTATTAAAAGCTGTGAGAAGCCCGTAAGGGCGCGGCATGTGTTGGGGAGCACGCGTGCTGCTGTGCCCGCCAGGTGTCGCCACAGCTGACTATGTACAGAAGACGTCGGTGACGCCGGCGCACATGGCGGAGCGTGCCAGCCGCGTGCCAGCTCACTAATTTCGTTTTATTAGCTTCCTTTGAACCTTTGTGGAGCATACTTACTTCTCTCGAACAGTTGCCGTAATTTATTGCAGCTTTGCACCCTACTTATAGGATACTGCTAGTAAGCCATGCCTAAATGATTGCAAAGGCTGCGGTTTATTTTTGTTCATAATTATTTTGTGCTTTATTGTTTTGTTGCAATAAACTTCTTAGCGGCAATGTAACTCGGAAGTGGCGAACCATGTAATAATATACAAAAAAATGTTCTAAACCCAGAATATGAAATAACTTCACTAATTAAAAAATTAATTGGGTAAGGCTCATGTTCACCCAATGTCAAAGAGAATAACAACGAAGGACTTAAGATTATGAATAGCGTAGTTTTTTGTTTGGCAAAGGGTCTGGTCAAAAGCAATAATAACACCTGTTAATGTTGTAGTCGTAGAATTATGAATGAAATTGTACTGAATGGTCATTCAAACGACAATAACTGACAAAGTGTGCTAAACTACACAATATGCACGTTTTTCAATTATTAAATAAGATCACCTTAATGTACTGATTGTTTTTCCTGGAAGGAAATGTCAGTGGGGAATTGATTTTGTCAATTAGATTACGGTATTATTATATTTTAGAAATTCAAATGTATTGCCAGGGAACCATTACATTTAGCAAAAGAACATAAACATTATAAAGTCCACCATTGATTTGTTAATCACAATCCAAATTGAATCGAATGTTTAGACATTCTCTTAAGGTTAAACGTGTATTCATATTTATGAATAGCTCCCTAATAACTTAACAGGCGTATAGATTCCAGCACCGCTACTGGAACTAGGCTTTCTATGTAGGGTCTCTTATGATGCTAGTCAAAGTTTTGAATACCTTAGTAAGGCGCGCCGCGCGAGGAAATAAAAGTAAAAATGTACTAAAAGTAGAAATAACGATGTTTGACCAAATGATAATTGATATTATAGCCATCGAGATATTTGTTTGATCAATTTGAAATCATGCTTGTTTGAATACTAGTACAATAGTAAGGTAGTACTGCAATGTTCAACACTTATCTATGTATTGTAACAACTGTAAAACAGTGTAGTTATATTAGCATATCTATTGCTGCGTTAGCACGCCACCAAACGTGGGTTTTATTACAATTCTCTGCACTTTTACGGTTAAGTTCACCTATAAAATATTAGTTAGTACTAAATAGGACCACACGATGTCACAAAAGTAAAAAAAAAAATTACGTCTCTAAATCGCCTCAAAAGCAGTTTGTTGCAACTTAAGCTCGTTCATCGAAAAGCTGAATGAATGTGTCGCATCTATTGTGCGACACATCCTGTGTTATTGTTGCTGTATACCTGCCGTCCCTTCGGACTGCTATTTATAATTAGTCCTCTACCTGATGCCCAGCCGACGTGCCCTCAACAAAAGGATGCGTATTGTATAACAATCGGAGAGGTTTGCGTACCGCAGTTGAGCGGGTCCACAGTATTGTTTGTTGCATCTCAGACCGATGGGTACTTATTGAAACTAGCGCCCCGCCGCCGTGCCGCCACTAGTGACTCAGGTATTTATGAATGAACGTGACGAGTCAGCGAGTGGGATGATCGGCCGCGGTCACAGCCAGGTAGAAAATTACACTTTTGGAATTCTTTCAACAGTTCGCGTCGAGTAGGGCTACTCAACTCGGTGGTCGAGGAGAGCCGCAGAGCGGGGCGCGGGGCGCTATTAACACGCATGCGTCGAGCTCTTTTACCGAGACGATCAGACGATCCCTCCCTCTCAGTTGATACAGAGACGTCGCGCGAGCACACCGTGCCGTCATGTACCGTTTGCCAACTTTTTCGAGTAGTGATGTGATACGATACCGACGTTCAAACGCCGCTTTTCATTAGATATATTACGTTTTGTAACTTTATGATTTTTCTGACTCAAGTTAATTGTGTGGATTTAAGTGAAAGAAATGTTACAGTGACTTAAAATTAATTGGATTTGGAAACAAAATGAGGTGGTTTATAGTGACAATGAGCGTGATGGTGTGGGAAACAATTTTAGCCGGTATTGCACCCCCAGGCTCATGTCCTGCGGTGTGTGCGTGTAAGTGGAAAGGAGGCAAGCAGACTGTGGAGTGTGTGGACAGAGCTCTTATCACAGTGCCTGAACCAGTAGACCCAGCCACGCAAGTATTGGACCTTTCCGGGAATAATCTTCAAATACTTCCTCAGGAAGCTTTTGCCAAAACAGGGCTGCTCAACTTACAGAGAGTTTATTTACGCAATTGCAATATTGGCCAAATTCACGATAGAGCTTTTAAAGGCTTAACAAATTTAGTTGAATTAGATCTATCTTATAATTTACTCACAGAGATCCCTTCAGATAGCTTCAAGGATGCACCTTTCTTACGGGATCTTACACTATCTCAAAATCCGATATTAAAAGTCCATGCAGATGCTTTGAATAATCTTGGAAACGTCGTCAAGCTTGATCTATCGAAATGCGACATCAGAGAAATAGCTCCCGACGCGTTTAGGACGTTGCGCTCGCTGGAATCTTTAAAATTAAACCATAACAAGCTACGTGACATACCATTGAGTTCACTAGAGAAGATCGAGAAACTCCGAGCGATAGACTTATCGGATAATCCATGGACTTGTGACTGCCGGTTACGAGATCTTAAATTATGGTTAGCAAAACATAAATTGCTTTCAACGCCCAGCTGTTATGCGCCGACACGTTTAGCTAACCGACCATTTTCAGAGCTACCTATTGAAGAGTTTGCATGTAAACCAGAAATATTACCAGCTAGTCGACATATCGAGGCGGCAGTAGGTTCCAATGCTACCATTACTTGTCGAACAGAAGCCGTGCCGAGTGCTAATATTAATTGGTACTGGAACGGCAGATTACTTCAAAATGGAAGCAACTTCAATTCACATCAGAGAATATATATTTTTGAAGAAGGGGAGTCGAAAAAGAAGTCTTCCCTAGTATTGACAAATACGCAGGAATCAGATTCCAGCGAGTTTTATTGCGTAGCGGAGAATAAAGGCGGGAATGCCGAAGCAAATTTCACAGTACATGTCACACAACTAGCAGCCGGCATGGCTTCCTTGGGGAGCGCACAGATAGCCAGTTTAGGAGCTGCATTGTTCCTGGTCGTCGTCGTTATTTCTTTAGCTCTGCTGATTACTTTCGTCCGGTTTCGTCCAACTCCGGCTTGCGAAAGTAAAACACCAAATACAATAGACCGAGTGGTGTCTGGAAATGAAGTACATCCGACGTCAACCGATAGACCTCATGTTGCTGTTTTAGCTAACCGGCAAGACTCACCGAATTACAATGACCCAAAATGTAATCCGGTTTTGAAACCTCCCAGAGCAAATGACATACCTTACACTACGAATCATTATGAGGGAAGAGGCAGTGTCGTCACTGCTGGTGGCCCAGTTGTCGTATCTCCTACAGTATCAGGAAATATTGATCCTGACCTTATAAATGATACAAGGCCAGAAAGTGCTGCTAGGCCAGGAAGCGGAGAGTATGCACGTGAGACCTCAGAGTCATTATACCCATCTGGTCTTTGGGATCAGATGAAAATGAGTCAAGCTAACAATTTAGCTCGTGCGGTTAGTACGGCAATTCCTACGTACTACAACGACAGAACACCTATTATAGAGAACTGCAGCGTGGACGGTTCGCAGGAGGAATTAGGCTACATGAGCCGGACTTTCCCACGATCCCATGCGATGACGGCGCCCAGCCCGGCGCCCCCGAGCGACGCTCCGTACCCGCCTGACTACGGGCTGCCGGTGAACGGCGCGCGCACTCTCCGCGTGTGGCAGCGGGCGCCCCCGGTGCTGCCGCCCGTGGCCGCGCTCAAGCGCGTCCTCACGATCACGAGGCCCTCGGCCGATGATCACTTTCAGGATGGCTGTGCTACTGATGTTTAATCTGATAAAAGAAAGCAGTAATGTTTGCATATCTAGATGACATGTCAGAAATTGTAAATTTGTATCCTAAGCTAGAAATCATCTTATACGTAAGGTATGTGTAATTTATAAACAGGTTGTTAGTGTAATATTTTTTGTATCATATAATTTATTTAGATAATTAAAGGAAAGTTACATTGGATCCAAATGCGAAGGGTCCGCGACTGATTAGTTGAAGAATGTAAGTGTAAATTATTACGTAATATGGAATGGTATCTTCTATGATCGCCAAATAAATAAAATACTGAATATAAATATATCTTGATTGTTGAAACTCAAATAAGATGTTACATGAATATTATAATAATGTACAGTGTAAGACATACATATCTACACGAAATACCCAAAGATATCAAACTCCCCCTGAAAGTAATATTCTCTATATTACTTATTATTATTGTAATTCACGCTGAATGTTAATCAATGTACGATAATGAATGTGTAAATTTTATGTTGAAAAGGAATAAGAGTTTTAGCAGTAAAATGAAAGAAATAAATCTGGCGATTGTAAAATGTACGCTTTGTTTGAATTAGTTTCACCTAGTAGCCACCTAATATTACTTGTTGATTCTCGTACAGAATTTCTATACTACACTACATATTAGGCTTTAGTAATTCATACTTTACCTCTTACTGACGTATCACACGTAATCCTAAGTACGCGACACTTCTATAACAATGAAGAGTATTTCATAGATTTGTACAATTATCTACTTCTTTTTGGTCATAGATATCTAAATGAAGGTAAATATTGGTATTAATGGATTGGGATAATTATCTACGCTATCGCATGTAATGTTACAGAGTAGGTACAGTATTAGTTAGTTTTTTTATTATCTGCATTATACATATCTACACACATATGTGTTTGAAGGAGATTCACTAATATGATCGTTGTACCAAAACAGACATCTTCATATTTTTAAAGATATTTATACTGACACGCGTTGATTTATGTCTCTCACATAAAGTACCCACACCAAGCCCGACAGGATGGCGTGGGCAGTTTGTTCGAGGAACGCTCGCAATAGAGAGTTATCATGACCATGTTAATATGTATGAGTGACTGACCAAAGTTCTTCACTTGCCGGATATTCTGTTCTAAGCATAGGTACTTCAAATACACTTCGTTAAATATATACACACATTCACAACTTTATATCATTCACAGATCTGCTTTATGATCGATCGTATGATAATATTAATGCCTGCTCTGTAATTGTAAGTTGTGAGTAATTAACTATTTAAAAGCCGCTTCGTAACGTGTAGGTACATGTGTAATTTATTTTGTACAATTTTGCAAACAGATGGCTAATTTCCTTCCAGACAAGGTTATACATATATTTTTATAGCCATCGCATCCGGACAAACCGGTCGGAGTTAACTTGTTCATTCATAGCAACGAAAGGTGTATCGCATTTTGAATAGACAATGAGAAAGAAACTAGACTAAATGTAATTTTATTTTATCAATAGAATTCAATACAAGAATGAATTCGACTTAAATGTTTTCTATGGAGAGCCAGTGTCATGGCGACAAAAAAGGGAAAAAAGTTTCAAGCGCACCTTCCAACCCGCCGGAGAAAAACCGGTTAACGTTATTTCATTTCCGTTCGATTCAGTTTTTTATTAGAACCAAACTCTAAACGGGTTCAATGGAAGTGAGAATATCGAAACAAGATTTTTAAAGCAGAGTATTGCATTACGACTTTACGACTAACTAAATCGAAATTTACGCAAATACGCCAAATTAAATCGTTTCACAAAGAATAAAGGCATAATCTGATATTTCAAAAGCGATTTTTGTATTTTTTTACTTTCGTATCATAAGTAACATCAGTAGAATACTGATGTGGCGCTGGAGAAGTAATGTACAGAAGTATATACCTACATGTTCCATTAACATTATGAATACAAGATATATGGAAAGTATATTTCATACTTATGTGTGACTTATGATTGTCAATTTGTGACCCCAAGCAGTTATTGATCACCAAAACGTTAGGAATTGATAACGATTTATGTTTATGATTTTGGTAAAATTGCGTACATTTTCTTAGTGTTTTTGCTCGATGTGCACTTCCATGTACCAGAGGTACCCATGACTACCGAAATCAAGAAACAAATTCATAACAATTGTAAGTGTAAGAGGCTAAAAGCAAATTACATTTTCATTAATCTAGGTTTGACAAAGAGGCATATTGTTCAGGCTTGCTTGGTTTACATTTAAAACTTCTGAATTTTTTTTCATGAATATTCAATGAGAAATAAAAAAGTTTGCCTGAAAATAAATTACCTGGTCTGTATACTATAATTTGCATAGATAATGTAGGTATTAGGCAATGTTTAATACTCAAAATATAACGTCGAAGTGATTTTTATTATATTCTCTCTATCGGATTTAAAATAAGGTTTTTAGCTTTTGGGTCATTGGGAAGTATTTGGATCGAAGATTTCGCCTTTGTTAAGATTTTGTCGTAGGCTGAATGGTGCCCTGGGGTTTGGTCACTTCCTCATCGACCGTTTTTTTACAAATAGGTTTTTTAGAAATGTCTCTTATAATGAGAATCCCCAACTCCGTTTATAACTCTTATGACTTGACTGATTCTGTGCGGCTGTGCCTATAATAAGAAATATTGGCATTCTACAACCTTTTTTTGCTTTGACGATAGCGGTGTAGTGTGTGTAGGTGTATGTGTCGCCTTATGATAAAGAAATAGGTATACAAGGCATGTAGATTATAGAGTCATGTATAGACGTGTTCAGACGTGTTGGTTCTTTAAAGTACATACAAACTAGTTTGCATATTTGGTGTGTGAAGGTTCTCCTGGACCGTGTATCCTAAAAACAGACGTGATAATTTTTATAAAACTTTATACTACGCTTATTTTTTGGCGTAAGTTCTCAGTCGGTAATATCAACTTCATTCATGATTTTTTTTTAAAAAGATACATAGAGCCTTGTTATGAATTAATTTTTTCAAAGGGAGTTGAGCCATGGATCACGTAGGATCATACCTAATATAAATTAAACAACAAAATGAAATAGCTACAAACAATACTTTGCTCGACAAAAACATTCACTAGAATAAATATCAATAAACAACTTTTGTGGTATGTATTATGTATAAATCAAAATATGTCCATAACTGATTATGTTTTTAAAGGCAAGAAGGTTCACATCCGGGCTTGTTAACAATAATGAATCTCGTTGGCATTCTCACTGGCAACTTGTCCATTGTTTAAATGATAGTTTTTATTATGTTTACTAATGTTTGAAGAAGCATAGACCTTGTTCATAAAGTTAGTGGTAGGAATTGCATTCCAATTGTTTTAAGAGTCCATTTTAAGTAAGAGCGGTTAGCGCAAGTGTAAGGAGCTTTTACTTCTCAGGCGTTGAAGTAGTTGATGAATTCAGGCGGTCTTTCTTCAAGATTGTTTCTCGAGTGTCGTCTCAAGAAAAAAATCCCCCGTATATAAATTAAATACATTTTTTTCTGAACACTAATATTGATGTAATAAAATCGACTTTATCTCTTTACTAAAATCAATTGTATGATAAGTTGATTCGGCAGCAAGTTTACAAACCACAAATCCTAATTACAATAACAAATAGAGCAGTACACAAACTTTCATGTCTATTCCAATCTTGAGTACTGGTACTATAACATAGGTAATTCTTAAACTTCTGATAAGAGAAACAATAGTATTGAAATAAGCAAAATTTTGTAGAACGACAACCTTATTTACCTACCATCAATGGCTTTGCGCTTTCTTCTCGTAAAAGCGGAGACTTTCGCTGACAATAATGATGTTTCGGCCCTGGCAACAATGGGAACTCAGCCAGAGCGATCTTGATTGTTCGCCTGAATATTTCAATTGTGTACTGCTTTCGAGGCTCGCTCTTTGTATATTCATTGCTATCATATTTTGTCGTGTAACGTTTGTTATTTTATCGTTTCTTAGATTTCTCTGTCTTAGTGGTTTTTACGTTTGGATATCTTAGCTTGTTTGGAGTTAGTTTAGTTTGCTATTCTTACAAATTATCATCAGAGTTTTCTTCAGATTTGTGCCTCTAAAAATCATAGATTGTGAATTTTCCTTCGAAAGGAAGAGTATTTTATTATTTATTTTACGTTACCTATTGTTAATCAATCTCTCTATTCGTCCAATAGGTACTATACATATTTTTCTGTTTGAGAATAACTGAAAGTAATTTTTATTGAGAAAAAATCAACATTAATTATATTTCATAAACTCTAGAACACACTAATTTTCCTTGAATCTAGTAATCCAGGTATCATTTCAGAGTTTAGGAGTAAGTACCTATCTTGGTTAAATAGAATTACTAGAAATTTGAGAGTTTAGTAATGTGTTACAATGCCACAAAATGTATTGAACAGTATTTTCCACGAAATTATCAACATCACACACCATACTGTGAAGCTTCTAAACTGTCATGCGAATAACGCAGGCAAAGTCTATTGCCTTATAGTATTATAGTATTGTAATGCGTAATACTTATAGTTAAGAAGTCTGTAAGAAATTAGTAATAGGTATGACTGACAGAACTACAAATGAAAACCGCAGAATACTAAGACCAAGAGAGGAAAATTTTGCTCAGGAGTTTGGAGTTTTCCAGGACACCACAACGGATCAATAGTAACAACAAGAATTCCTGTACACATGTGCCTAAGTCTAGGTAAGTATTTGTTTCTTGGTAAACAACAAATGTATGAAATTAAATAAAAATCATTACCGCTTGCAGTTTGTAAGAGCACTGCTAATTATATAATCTTCTTTTCACCACAACGCTAATTAGAATCGCACATTATAAACTTTCTTTACGAAATCTGTTAAGGTACGCTCGCCATTATATTCAATTTTGATTGAACGATGAACGATTCTTACTGGTGTGAACACTGTAAAATGAAATAATATGTAAAAAAACGTAATATTCAGAGTAACTGGCCAGTGCGGCGGCTGCGAAGCCACCGGCGCATGATGTTGCCAATGCCAATAAAAATTTATTCTATTTTTGGTCATTGACACGTGCTGACATAATTAAAAGCGGAAAAACATTTCATTTTTGATAAAATAAATCTTTTTGAGTTACGAATGTGAATGTATTTTACGGGTACTGGATTAATATAATAACTTTGTTCTTTATACAATGTTTTGCGTGATACGTATAGGTAGGTAAGTATTTAATAATATTTACAAGTATGAAATAATTTTACAGTTTATAAAACTTTTGTCTATGTTTTTGAACACAATATACACTAACCTATATAAGCTTTAATATCTATTACTGAATCGGATGCAATTACAAACAATATTTACATCTTCAGTATAAAGGCTGCTGTTGTAGTTTAAAACCTATAACATTAATACAATGTATACCTATCATTTGCATTTTGTTATATAGTACCTACCTATCTCTCAAATTAATAAACCACAACAAAGTCCTAAGTAAACTGGAACTATAATGCACGAAAAGTGCTTCGTCCGTTATTGTT